TTGGGGGGAGATGGGCGGGGGACAAATTTAATAAATAAATAAATAAAAAGTTGTACAGTAGTACATAAGGATAGTTTTAACAACAACAATAATAATAGTCTAATATAATAAAAATATAACATAATTATTAACATAAATATCTATGGCAAAAGAAAGCAGATAGTACCAATAGTAATAGGTGCCTTAGGTACGATCCCAGAACATCTGGAGCACCACTTGAAGACCATCAGCATTGACAACATCACCATCAGTCAACTGCAAAAGACAGCTTTGCTTGGAACAGCTTCCATCCTGCAAGGATACCTTTAACACCATCAAACAACATCTGCCTATCCCAGGCCCTTGGGAAGGACTCGATAGGTGGATAAAAATGCCAAATCCAGCCTAAACGTCTGGCTGACTGTGCGACCAACCATAATGATAGTCTGAATGTATAGCATATGTTTATTCTAAACAAAGGGAAGATGTATTATCCAGCATGTTGTAAAATATGGGATATAAAGCCTGATGTGTTTCTCATAGGACTTATATGTATATTGATAATAAGGATGATTTATGAAAGTGTAAATTATCGTGTCTGTGTGTGGGTCTGTATATGTGGGTCTGTGTGTGTGTATATTCCCTCTATTATACTCTGACATTTTTGTTTTATTTTTATCATCATTCATTTGATGACTGATTCTGCACTTCTTGTATCTGTAGCTGGATACACAAAAACAAGAACCCTTACACGTGGTTTAGTGAAAAAGAGGTGGCCGAGAGAAAACAAGCAGCCCAAATAGATTACATTCCTCCCCTGGATGAGAATGTCAAGCGTGTCACAAAGGAGTTTTGTGACTGGATCAACGCAATGGTAAGTAAGAAGCACTGTAAAAATCAGTTGAATGAAAACAACAACAGCCACAGCTCAGCAGGCAACGTAAACCGAGCAAGCAAACACCCCCCCCCCGCTCTGCTCCCAGTTTGATACCGTTATAAAGAATAAACTGATTATTTTAAGAAAGACTGCAAGGGTTGCTGGAAAATAAAGTATTTTGTGTTTGTATGCTGGATATAGGCAGTCCAAAGACTGGAGAATGTCAGGTTGTAGGTTAGAACTGCAATTTTCAGGGAATGCTATATTTTTCTAAGTACAGTGAGTTACCCACAAATTTTATAGGGTTGTTTTAATATTGGATAATGAAAAATGTAAGACAGCCAGTTTGATCTAGTAGATAATGTGCTGGACTAGGAGTCGGAAGATCTCAGTTCTAGTTCCATGGGCTCTGTCAGCCCTAGGAAGGAGGCAGTGACAAAACGCTTCTGAAAAAGTTGCCCAGAAAACTGCAGGCACTTGTCCAGGGAGTCACCAGGAGTCAACACTGACTCAAAGGCAATACATAAAATCAGAAATAAAACATCAATTCTGAACTCCAAAGTGCTCCAATTCAGCCACTTGTTTATTCGTTCTGGGTAGCTTAATTTAGTTTAGGTAAAATCTACAATTTAGTATGGATCAGTGGTGTTTCTGATGTCCACAGCTACATTAGTATGCTCAAATATACTTGCCTGAAATGATTTAGGGAAGTATATAGCCAAATGGTTTATTGTTAGGGCAAAGTTGGCTGAACATATCCCCACGTATACAAAAGTATTTCTGCTCTCTCCTTCTAAAGTAATTTTATTTTATTTTTCTCATTCAGTTGTTAATCATCACAATTACACCTGCTAGACTACATATGATTTGTGTGGAGTGGTGATTTTTCCATTGTACAATCACCGAAACAATATGGGTGGCAATGAAGTGGACACTGGTCCAAATTTAATTCAGACCTCCTTTAGTAAATCTATTCATGAATGCATGTTTATCTTCCGATGAACAAGAATTTAACATCAAATGGTAGCCCTTACGTGCAAATCAGCGACCTGAGATCAAACAAAGGAGAGCCAGTTTGGTCTAGTGGTGAAGGCTCCAGGCTAGAAACCAGAAGACTGAGTTCTAGTCCCACCTTAGGCATGAAAGCCGGCTGGGTGATTTTGGGCCAGTCCCTCTCTCTCAGCTCCTGACATCAGGCTTAGGCGACAAGCCGGTCAATCAATTCCTGTCGCAACCAATAAATCAGCATTTGGCTGATCTGAAAAAAACAGACCTTGCGCTTGCGGGAAAAAGGCTAGGAAGAAAAATCTGAGATCAAACAATACAGAGAAAATGTATTACTTTCTCAGATTACCTGGAATACAGTGGGTTAGATAAGGTTATCTCTGTGGCCTTTCTGAATGGGGGAAGGAAAGAGACAGCCTGACCATCTCTCTCATTAAGTACAACTGCCCCAATTCTGATATTTATGGATGTCCATGTGAAACCTCATTTTTGCAATATGATCCACAGGGTCAAGTCCTTTCTTTTATGCAGTCATTTTCCTTGATAACATCTAATAACTCATTGCATCATCTGAGTCAACCCATGCTTGAGGTCTAATGCTTGGAGGTTGGACTGGCACACCAGATGGACAGAGAGGGATATCATGTGCTTTTACTCCCCTGGGTTTTGTATGACTGATGTGCAAAATAAGAACAATCTGACCCAATGCTTTTCACTACCAGTCATCAGATACTGAGGAATTGCATAAGTATACATGCTCTGCCTGTGGTTTCGTGCTTCCTCCTTCATGATTGGAGCTGGCCTTTGAGAAGGGAACATATGCGCATAAACATATTTTTCACTAAGCTAGCTTTTTCCCCCAACACTTTCCTGAATCTCACATTAACTCTGGAGTTCCTTTTTTAAAAATCCAGTTTCCTAATCCAGAGTAATGACAAGCAGATGTTTCTAATGGAGGAAGGGTGGTTTTGACTCACATTTATTTATTGATTTATACATCACATTTATATAGGCACCCATCTCCCACAAAGCACATTTACATTTGCTGTCAGGTATAAGAACATGTATTAAACCCACTTCCACACAAAATATCAGCAGGTCTCTACTACAGAACTCAAGAAGGCAGCTGGATGAATCTTCTGAATGTTCTACCCAATAGCTACTTATTCCTATCTGACATTAATGTAACGAAGTATTAGAAAATATTTGACTTCTGAGCCATTTCCCCAAGTCAGAGGATCTCTGACCCTCTGAACATACCTGCTGCATTTGCAATCTCGCGTTTTATCTTGTTCTCTTTTGTCTGCGCATAAGTAGTGTTGGGTCCTCCTTCTGAAATCAGAATGCAGAAATATATATTAACGAGAATGTTGCCATTGTTTTAAAACTTTTGCAGTTGGGTAAGAAAAAAAAGGAGGAAATAGGAGAGGGTTTTCTAAAGAGGCCTGATGATTCAGCATTGATGAAAGTCTGATTAGGTTATTCTGCACATGGGTTACGGTGCACTCTTGTGAAAGCCACAATAGATGGAAAAGAAAGAGAATGGTGCTTTCAGCAAATATTGACTCATATATAAAAATGGGTCCCCTCCCCCCCTTTTTTTTCTGTAGTAGAGCACACTGTTTAAAGGACTTAAACAAGAACACTGCATTTCTTGAATCCTACATTAAGCAATGCCACCAGCATAGGTATGAGAGTAGTTCCACCATTAGACAGTGTTATAAGGGAAGCAAAATCCAAGTATTTATTAAGAACAGTATTTGCAAAGGGAATGACAGAGTGTCAGTTTCAAACAACAGTTTACAAATAATAGGTTAAGATTGCATAAATGTACCTAAATATGCTTGATCATCATTTCTGAGAGGATCTTCCACTGCTGCCAGGAGTTTCCCCCTCAAACAAATTTTCACAAACTCAATCCCAGCTTAAATTAGTTTAAAACCAGGAACAGATGTGGCAAAGTAGATTTCCTCTGCCTCCAGCTCTTTCTGCTTCTGGGTTCTAGGATGTTTCAGATTTTTCAGGCAGTTATTCAGGTTCCTTGTAGTCAAGTTTCCTGCCTGAACTCTTCTGGTGCTGGGCTCTGCTGCTTCCATTAAGTTCCATCGAGAACCTCACAGCAAAGAGACCTTTCTGACATCCTCAGCTGAGAACTTGGGCCTTCAAATCTTTTTCTAATGCAGTTTTCACAGACAAATCAACCCTCTTAGCTTATTTCACTGCTGGGAATTCCTTCCTTCAGCCTCAACAAACTACCCATTTCTCTCAAGTTTTTAAAACATTAATGGACCTCCTGACTAGTTCTAATTGTACTTCATGATCTGTCTGGTACCTACTGGAACAAAGACAGTTCTCTTTGGTCATTTTCAAACTCTTATCTTGAAGCCTTTATTCCAAAGCAGCCACAACCGAAGCAATTTCAGTGGGTTTATATCTAATAAAAGCTGGATGCAGTAGCAAAAGCACGTTTCTCGTCACTCATGGAATTCAAACATTGGAATTAATTAAAAAGTATATTAAAAATGCAGTATTTCTTGATATTGTCATTAGCTCTGGCCAAGTACTTCTATAAAAGGTAACTGCTGTAATAAAAATATTGCTCTTTGCGAGATTTAGGTCAGAAATATTTCAGCAAGAAACGGCCATGACTGGATACTATATAGGTAAATAATGTATGTCCTAAAAGATTGTGATTTTATGGCCATACTTAGTGGAATTTGAAGGTGGAATCTTGGTTGATCTCAGTGAAGCTAAACAGGGCTGGATCTGGTTAATATTTGGGTGGGAAACCATTGAGAGATCTCAGGTTGTAAACTAGATTGGGAAGTCAAAGAATATTCTAGAAAAAAAGGCAATAGCACACCACTTCTGCCCTGTTGTCAAGAAGAAAGCTACATGCAGTGATGTCTGTTGGACTGGGCAGGTCAAAATCAGCAAGATGGGCCAACGGAGTGGGACAGTGCAAATTCCACCCATTTGGGATCTTCACTTGGACAGATCAAAGAAGTAGGACTTGTGCAGCAATGCTCTGTCCACCACTAGGTGGTTTTGATCTGTCCACCACCACAAATGCCACTGGCTACACAGATATGTCCTTGAAGTCCCAGAAGTGGAACTCAACTTTACTTTGAAGCTCAGCCCAGGGTTTGTTGCTCAAATGTCTAATAATGGTCTTCTATCACACACTGGAATTAGTTTGCTAGCTAGAGCAGCCAGTTTCTGCTCCTGATACTTGCCCATTTGCTGAAGTACTTTCTCTAGTCTAAGTATTCGCAGCGCCACCTGAACGTGTATGCTTGGTTTACTATTCCAGGGAGGTGAAAAGTATAACATCGATGAAGGCACCATCATGAAGTTGTTTGACACAAGGTATGAAACTGATATCAAGACGGCAGCACCCATTAAAATAGTGGAGCTCTATCAAATACCGGCAGAGCTAAGACAATACCTGGGGAGGGTTCCAGCCCGGAAAACCGTTAGGAGTTCTGCAAAGGTAAGGAGACCGAAATGAATTGAACTGAATGGTAATACATACTGAGATAATTATTTAGGGATTCAATATGCATGTCACATAAAAACAAATAGAAATGCTCTTGGGCAATGTTTGTCAACCTTGGCAACTTTAAGATAGGTGGACTCCAACTCCCAGAATTCCCCAGCCAGCCTCACAAGGCTTTGGGAAGGGCACGCGTGCCCAGCAGCTGCCTCACAAAGGGCCAGGCTGGCCATGCCTTGTCAGCAGCAGAACAGCAACAGTCATTTGGGGGTGGGGAGGGTGGCAGGGGTGGCGGAGTGCAGGGCAGCCAAAAGGGCAGAGATGGGGGGAGATAGGTGCATGGGGGGAGTTGAAGAGCATGGTGTGGAAGTAAATGTGTGGGGGGTAGCAAGCCCAAATTTTGTTCACGTGACTGTGGGGGTGCTGTAACAGCCATAACTTCAAGGACCGGTCGTAACTACCATTCATTCAGCACTGTCATAACTTTGACAGTCGCTGAACAAATGGGTGTTAAATGAGGACTACCTGTACTTATTCCAGAGTATATGCTTTTCTCTCCCAATGTGTGAGAGGAGGGGAGAATGGTTCTTAGGTGACAGGAACAAAATGATTCTCCATCCTCCCTGGTGCCTTTTCTCCCGTATTGCCTTTCTTACAGGCTCCCTTGAAGGTGCTTTTTGGTTTAAAAGACAAACTTTGGAGAACTGCGCACAAACTGAATGCCACCATATTTTATTGGGACTTCCTGCTTCGAGACACAGCAGCAATAGTCCTTTCCATTTTGATTGCTGCAGAGATTGCAAGCCTTGCACTCACAAGGTGCCCCCAGAAGGAAACACAAAGAGGGCTGGGGTTAATTGATCCATAGGGTCTCCTTGTTCTCCTTGTAGATTAATTCTTGAACCATTCCATTCAGACCTGTAAAAGTACAGTAGTTTTTCCCCCTTGGTTGCCAGACATACAGTACAATGGATCTAAGATGAGTGTGTAATAGTTCTGGTATTACAAAAGTCATGATGACTGTCTAATGTGGAGTCCCTGGGGTTCTCTGAGCTCAGAGAACCCCAAGAACTCCACAGTTCAACCCAGAGCTACATATACTGTATTCTCTTCTATTGTCTAATGCTATGGTGTAATTTCTACAGAGAAGAAATATGTGGAAAATGTTCTCCCAGGTGAAATCATCTCACAAACTTTATTCTCCTCTCCTGTAGCTTCCCTCCCTCCCTCCCTCCCTCTCTCTCCCTCTCTCTCC